GCTGCCACTGATTAGATGTGTAGCATTTGGCAACTTTATCTTTCTAAACCTCAGTTTTTTCATAAGGATAACAATACCAATCTTATAAGAAAGATGAGAGGATGAAATAAGACAAAAAGTCCCTGGTACTTGGAAACCTATATACATTTTCATTTGTCCAACATGATTGATTATTTTGTTATCACTTGGATGAGAGCAAGACCCTCAAGGAATGGACACAACATTCGTGCCTTTCGGACAGACTAGAGCAGGTCCTAAATGTCACAAAATATGGGCCACTGTATTTGTTCAAAGGCCAGGGTTTCATGCAAAGGGTAGCAGCTCCAAGGCAGCAGGTGCAGAATGAGAACAGGGGTCGCCACGGCCAGGAAAATGAGGACCACTAGGACTAAGTTAGCCCCAGGGGAAAAAAATCATCTTCTTTACTTTGATCTTGGGTTCTACAAATGAGACTCAAGAAAAGAAGGTGGCGAAAATGTTTATGCACATCTGGGAGGAGTCTACAATACTGCTTTAAGAAAATATTATAAAAGAGCAGCTGAGTGAAATAAAGTGCACATAACCAGACAATAGGACACCTATGTTATCCTCCTGTCTCGGCCACTTCCAGCAAGCAATGGGAGTTTTGGCAAATCTCTTCAATTTCCTCGGTCACATTTTTCCTGATTATTAAACATTTTCCCTGATTATTCAGGGACAATCTAGTCCCTGAATAGGACTAGATTAGTCATTCTCATCACTAGTGGCACATTAGACTCACATGAAGCTTTTAAAAAACACTGATACATGGGCCCCACCCTCAGAATTTCTCATTTAATTGGTCTGTGGTGGGGCTCAGCCATCTGTATTTCTTAAACAATCCCTGGGTGATTTTAATATGCAGTTAGGGTTAAAAACTACCAGACTAGATCTTATCTAAGACCTCTTTCAATTCTATGATTGATATGAATTTCTTCCTACCTTTGCAAACAAGAAGAAACATTTTCTACCTCTATCCATTTTTAGTTCATTTATTTTTTTCACATTGACCTAGTAACAGTATCAACAGTTTATATTTTTTTTTATCCAAAATCAAGAAACAAGGCTCAGACTCTTTCTACTGAACCTCTAAAGCAAGGTTAAGCAATGGAAGGTAGAAATCCAGAGTCAGGGTAACCCAACCTGCTAAGCAGAATAAGTAATTTATAGTCAATGTCAAGTTTCTATACTAGGGCTGAAGATGTAGAGATGCAGTCCCGAGGTAGTTAATTCAGCCAGCAGAAAAGACCAAGAGCCAAGGAGAGCTGGATCCAGTCTTCAAAGCCAGTGGAGAAAATCTGGAGAACAGAGCCAGGGTTCTACGTCAAGGTCATATGCCCCAGAGGTCAGAATCAAGAAAGCTACAGAGTCACAGACAGGCTCAGAGGCTGGAACAGCTTAAGAAAACAAGGTGATCACAATAGATTAGGACCCTTGAAGTTTTAAATATGACCCAGTCTCTCATCAGAGTCTAATGTGTGAATTAATCTCCATATTGCTGACGTATTTGTTCCCCTGACCCTTCCCAATCTTGCATTTGTGCTTTAACTTATTCCTTTTATTTTCATATATGTCCTCATATATGTGAATATCTGAGTCCTCAGCTAGAATATTAGCTCATTGAAAACAAAGGTTATCAAATATCCTCCCTCTTGTAAATTGCCTCACAGTGACATATAATTATACTGAGAATACAGCAAATGCTTAACATAAATGTAGGTGAATTAAATGATTACTTTCTGGGAAAAATTAGACCAAATACAGACCCATATAGAGCACATCCCAACCTGGGTAAAAGGTGCTATAGCAAACATTACCTGTGCATGGGACAAGTCTGTGTGTGGGTATCCTGACTGTGCAAGGACTCCCGGGTTCATGCAGACCCCAGTTAAGCTGGAAGGGACATCGCCAGTTATGCCATTTGAAGGTGGACGCCAGCACACGGAGCTCTGAGCTTGGTCATTTGAGCATGTGACTGGCTATAGAGATGAAGCATTAAGTGAATAGGAAGCCATGGTATTGAATTTCTAAAATCAAACTCATCAGTCATAAAAAAACAAGAGGGTGACTTTTTAGAAAGAAAGAATGACAAAACTTTTTAAAGGAATAGATGTTTTCTCAGCCTCTAAAGACAAAAAAGAATCTAGACAGATTATTCTATTCCATTTTAACTAATTTTTATAATATTTTAACCAATGTTTCAGATCAAGAATGTATATCGTCCCATCTTCTCTATCATATTACAAGCATGTATTTAATACCTTCACGTCCCAAGCTGCTGTAGGTGGAGCATATAATAGGAAGCCTCTATTCATAAAAGGAATAGAATGTTAGAGCTGAAAAAGTTCTTGCAGCTTATCAATGAGCTGTTATGCTCATTTTGGAAATGAATATTGAAGCAAAATATGTTGACGTTATTATTATTACTATTATTATCTCATAATGACATAATAGCAAGAACTAGAGCCCAGCCCTTCCAGGGTTAAGACCAGTGTAATTTCTACTCTACTATGCTATATATAGCATATTATCGTGCTAAACTATGGTGATACGTTAATGAAAAATTCTTATACAAAGAGAATCTTTTGCATAATCCACACTGTGCTCTATGCAATGGAACTTGTGAACCCAAGACAATGACACAGAAGACACATCTTTGGTACAGTTTGTGACATGTCTTTACTGGGTTCCTCTTGGGCATAGAGCCATACGAAAACAGTTCTCAACAACAAAAAAGTTTCTAGGTGTAGGGAGTTCATATGCTAACATAAAAGGGAGGTAAAACAGCTTTGTCTGTAATTTAAAAATACAATAATTGCTAAATATTGTTGAGAAAAAGACGTAAGATTTGGAGGAAGAGGTGTATAAAAAGAGGAAAAAGAACAAGATAAGATGAAAATAGAAGAGGAGGAAGTTTAGGAATTTATGGATCTGGGACAAAAATTTTGTGACATCTCAAAGGTAACACAGCATTGGCTGGGGCGGGGTGGTCCTCACCTCGTAGGATAATAACACTGACTTACTAGCTGTGAGGCGAAGGCATCTCTGCCACTTCCTGTGCATCTCCACAAAAGGGGGTACTAAGACTGCTCACTCATAGATTTGCTGTGAGGATTAAAGATTAATGAAAGGGTTGGAGCAACGTCTGGCGTACAGCAAGCATTCAGTGAGTACTGGCTATCATCACTGTTCACATAGTGTCCGTGTTTGTATTCCTATGCTACAACTACTAGTTGTCTCTGATCATGTTGATTTGATTACCCATTAATAAACAGCTGTAAAAATGGCTGGCCCATCAACCAGTGAGTTCCATAAAACTATCAAACTAGAATTGTATAAAGTCATTGGTCCACTGGGAAATAGCATCAATAATACCAAACATAAATAATTCTTATTAAATATAGATAAGTTGGAATACTCTTGGCAGTAAAGAGCTTACTAAGTTAGGTTTTTCTATAAACGTTGTATCAAAGAAATAAAGAAAATGGCTCTATGTTTTATTGAATAAGATTAAACAAAGTCTGTGTTATCCACTGGGTAAATCTGAGCAAAACTGGACTTACCTTTAAGAACAACCTTGCTTAGTTCCATAAGGGCTGGTTCCATTGCTTTCGTTATTACCCAGTTCGCCTGTGGCTGATGAACTTAGGTGTCTTAATGTGCTTTGTAAACAAAGTAAAACTCACTCGCCAGGACAGTTTTCCAGAATTTTCTGGCACTGTTGGAATCCCAACCCTTTCAAAGAAGGAAGATGATACGTGGCGTTTACGTGAAGGGTGGGGAACCTGCGAACTAAGCTCAACTTCAGAGAAACACTGAGTCAGGTGAGCTTTTTCCTGTGGTAGGGTTGCTCCGACTCTTGAACAGGTGAAGTCCCCACACAAAATTGCAATAATTGGAGAGCTGTGAATCATGTTCAATGAGATAGTCAGCCTTAGCTAATAACGGCCATGGGCAACTGAAGCATTAGCAATAGTTACCAAAGAAATTTCTATAGATTTCCCCCCTAACTTCATAAGGATTAACTTAAGTTCTCATATAATCCCAACAGAAAAACAAAACACTAAAGCGGATTTTCTTTTGTTTATGATTTTTAAGTTATTCTTAAATTCTATTATTGGATTTGGTCTTAAGAGAAAAATATTTTTACTACTATGCTTTAAATATCCATGGTAATTAAAATGGTGTCAGCTATCCAGACAGACACCGTAAAAAAAGTACTTAAGATAATATTTGTAGACATCTTCAAGTTTGTTGTTATCTAGAGACACTGACAAGATGATGAATACTTGGCTAAAGGGATTTTTTTTGGTCTGAATATTCTAGCATCCTGAAGATCCAATTATAGAATGTCAAAGTCAGAAGTGACAAAGAGAACAGCGTCAGGAGGGTCCTGTGTATGGTGACACAAAAGGACAAGCTCCTTTTCTCTCAGCAAACCAGGAATCCTCCAAGAGATTCTCTTATTTAACTAACACTTGCTGAACAACAGGATTTGATCTTCTTTGGCTTATTTTGTAGGCGATGAATCCAGGCCAGTTGCCACAGCTCCAACTTGCAAAGGCAAACTATTTTGTCTATTCTTCAGTTCAGGCAAAGAATTTTAACTCACCATTTTAATTTTTAGCGCGTTTCTATTCTTTGTTCTGATATTAAAGAGGCCACTTCTAACTACATAGTAAAGGCTTGATTCTTGGTGTAAAATATTTCAAAATAGACAAAATGATCATATTTTCATACAAAGGAGGCATTTTTAGAGGATTTCTTTTGTAAGTCAAAAGGGAATATCCAGGATTAGTATCTGGAGTTCCAACATACTTAGGAATCTGAGTTCTGACAGGTTTAGAAATTATATACGAAATACAAGAATGAAATTGTAAAAATACAACTTCAAAGCCAAACCAAAGACATCATTGGAGCTTTATGTTTACATGATGGTGAACACAGAAAGTTAAGTGAATTTATTTTATATCATGGGGTCATAGAAACATTTCTAATGCTGTATATAAGTAAGTATATGAAATAACTTCCAAAGTATAGCATAGCAGAATATAGCATGAAAAGTTGAAGCAAAAACATTCATACACAGCTACTTTTCTTTTTGAAGAAGAATGCAAAATTATGACATTGACTGCATTGTAGTAAAGAGATTAGATTGCTATTAAATGCTGAAAGTGAGATGGCAACATAGGCAAAATATTACAATAGAGCGACAATACTCACTGCCTGGTTTTCAGAGTGTTCAATATTCACCGCATATTTTCCAAGCTTTCTGTTCATTTTTGAGCTTGCAATACTACAAGCTGAACTCCAAAAATATTCTTCAGTTCATGCATTGTGCTTTATATATGCAACGCTGACAAATAATTGAAAGGACTGATGGAAAATCAACTCTGATACATCAGGGCAAGGTGGATTAAACTGAAGAGTAAATAATTATTCACTAAAACGAGATCCACCTTACAGAAGGAAATGAGATACTAAGTATAGAAAAACACAATAAAATTAATACTGCTTCTGAGAGTTACTGTGACTCCCCGCTCAGCAATCCTTCTGACAGAGGGAAACGCTGGAAATCTTGCTCAATTCTTCCTCTTCTTCCTTTTGGCAACACCTGCCTTCCATTTTAGGACCAACCCAAGGGAAACGTCTGCTGTAAAAGTTTGTCATTGTTTTCCCTCTATGCAAGCATGAATGCCCTGTCCGCCCTGTGAGCAATATTTCTTAGTCATCTATGATCTGAGGGTGGCTTCATCTTTTCAGCCTAGAAATTGGTGTCTGGAAGTCTCTTTGGTCAGTTGCTCAGTAATCCACACGCGCTTAAAAACCATTAGAATCCTCCCTACTGTTTTCCACAGTAGCTGCACCAACTTCCATTCCCACCCACAGCGTATGAGGGTTCCCTTTCCTAAACGTCCTCGACAATATTTGCTACTTGTGTTCTTTTCGATGACAGCCATTCTGACAGATGTGAGGTGATATCTCACTATGGTTTTGATCTGCGTTTCCCTGATGGTTAGCAATTTTGAGCATCTGTTCATGTGTCTGTTGGTCCTCTACATGTCTTCCTTGGAAACTGTCTATGCAGTTCTTCTGCCATTTTTTAATTGGGTTGTTTATTTTTTTGATGTTGAGTTGTATGAGCTGTTTATATATGTTGAATCTTAGCCCCTTATCAGTCACATCATTGCAAATATTTTCTCTCACTCCGTTGGTTGTCTTTTCGTTTTGTTCATGGTTTCCTCGGCTGTGCGAAAGCTTTTAGGTTTAATTAGGTCCCATTTGTTTCTGTTTGCTTTCATTTCAATTATTCCAGGAGATGGATCCGAAAAAAAAAAAAAAAACCATTGCTGTGATTTATGTCAAAGGCTGTTCTGCCTAAGGTTTCCTTTAGGAGTTTTATAGTATTGGTTCTTACATTTCAGTCTTTAATCCATTTTGAGTTTATTTTTGTATATGGTGTTAGGGAGTGTTCTAATTTCGTTCTTTTACTTGTAGCTGTCCAGTTTTCCCAGCACCACTTATTGAAAAGAGTGTCTTTTTTCCATTGTACACTCTTGCCTCTTTTGTCATAGATTAACTGACCATAAGTGCATGGGTTTATTTTTGGGCTCTGTATTCTGTTCCATTGATTTATGGGTCCCTGATGCACAATTCCAAAATCCAAAAGATTTCAAAAGCTGAAAATTATTTTGCACTTTTAGCACAAATTTACTTGACAGCAAAAGTTAATCCAAACTAAGAAGGGTAATTTTGAACATTTAATAAACTTAACATGATTATTCATACATTGAATTACAAAAATATGAATGTCTATTGCAGGTTACCACCACAGTCCTGCAGCAGGTGTTGTGTAATATACAGTATATGTATCATATAACTTTCATGAAATTTTTGAAATTATGAATTTTGAAATACATCTCAACCAAGCACTTCATATAAAAGACTATGGGCTTGTAGAAATTTTCAGTTTTTTAAAGACAACTAGCATGTCTGCCTTTATTCTTTTTTTTAAAGTAACTCCATAAATTATTGTGAGGATAAGGTGAAACACGCAAAGCCCATGATTCATTCTAGATCACCAAGAAGGATTCATTTCCTTTCTTCCAACATCATAGGACTTGGCCAATGGCACTCGCTAGAGATCTTACAGGAATAGGAGGAGGAATGAGACTAGGGATCCTTATATCAGGAAAGGGGTCAGCTTATCTCCCTGGTCCTGAAAGCACTGCCTGGGGGCCTGTTTGTCTTTATTCTTATTGCTCTGAAAAACTACTTCATAAAGACTTCAGCTAGTAAGCTGACTCATAACTGACATTTTTTAAACGTGTATGAGCAAAAAAAACTACAAGAGCTGGTAAACGAATCCAACAAGGTAGCAGGATACAAGATTAACATACAGAAATCTGTTGCATTTCTTTGCACTAACAATGGAATATCAGAAAAGGAAAGTTAAAAAAAATCCCTTTTAAAATCACATTAAAATCACAAAAAAAAATACTTGGGAATAAACATGACCTCGGAGGTGAAAGACTTATATGCTGAGAACTAGAAAAAGTTGATAAAGAAAATTAAAGATGAGTTAAAGAAATGGAAAGATACCCTATGCTTTTGGATTGGAAGAATTAATATTTTTAAATGGCCATACTATACAAAGCAATTTATAGATTTAATGTGATCCCTATCAAATTACTCAGGCCATTTTTCACAGCACTAGAATAAATAACTCTAAAATTTGGATGGACTCACAAAAGATTCAGAATTGCCAAAGCAATACTGAAGAGAAAGAATGAAGCTGGAGGCATAACCTTCCCAGACTTCAGACTCTACAGAGCTACAATGATCAAAACGATGTGGTGGTGGCATAAAACCAGACATGCGGATCAATGGAACAGAATAGACAGCCCAGAAATAAACCTCCAAACCTACTGTCAATTAATCTTCAACAAAAGAGGTTAAGAATATACAATGAAGAAAAAAGACAGCCCCTTCCAGTGGTGTCGGGAAAGCTGGACAGCAGCATATATATCAATGAAGTTAGAACACTCCCTCATACCATACACGAAAATAAACTCAAAATGGCTTAAAGACTTAAACATAAGACAGGACACCATAAATCTCCTAGAACGTAAGCAAAAAATAAATACACACACACACACACACACACATATAATGGAATACAATGGAATGGAAGAGATTATTATGCTAAGTGAAGTAAGCCAGAAAGAGAAAGATAAATACTATATGATATTTCTTATAGGTAGAATCTAAAAAAATTGACACAAATGAACTAATTCACAAAACAGAAACAGACTCAGAGACATAGAAAACAAACTTATGTTTACCGGGGGGGAAGAGAAGAGGAGGGATAAATGGGAAGTTTGGGATTTGCAGATACAAACTACTATATATAAAAGAGATAAACAAGGTCCTACTGTACAGCCCAGGGAACTGTATTTAAGGTCTTGTAGTAACCTATAATATATATGTGTGTGTGTGTACAACTGAATCACTATACTGTACATCAGAGACTAACACAATGTTATAAATCAACTATACTTCAATAAAATAAAAAAAATTAATAAAATTAAATGTGAATGAGAAGACAAGTAAAAAGAACAGCTTCAACCATTGCTGGATCATAGCAAATGATGCTACCTTTGGGCGGCCTCTGACATAAGACCTGGTCAATGTAATATTATTAACATTACAGAGATGTCTGTGACAATGTTAGTGGGTATACGACGCTCCTCAGAACTAATCCTTAAAACACCTACAAGAATTAAATACTATTATCTGATTGATCACTCTCCTGATGAGACGCATATGTTTGAGTGACCTTTTATAAGCTCATGTTAAGGTTAGAGTGTGTGGCCCTCAGACTTCCCATTCATTCATTGTCTATAGCCATTTATTAATTGTCTAGTGCGTACCACACTGCACACTAAGAAGGATGGAGAGAAAAGAGAAAAACAATTCAGAGGTTAAATTTCTTGAAAAGACCATGTGACTGTTGAACCTTTAGAAACTCTGATGACATTCGTCAGGACACATCAAGGAAGTACAGATGTTTACTACAAACAAGGCCGGGGAGGTGCTGACACCTGGAATTAGACCTGATCACAAGGACAGAGATTGTTGGAGATCATGCTCCAAATAGCAGCAAGGACTTGGCAACTCCCAGGGCGGAGACATGGCTCAGCTTCCATGCTGACCCTGCACGTTCTGCCCAAACAATAGACAAATGGTCGGACTTGAGCATCTAAGAGGTTCGCAGAGCAAGAAGTCAGCAATCAGTCACGTGGACCATATCACTTGCCAGCAGGGCCCTGGATCTGGGAGCTGAGGTTCACTGAAGGGACTGCAGTCCACAGGGATGAGCGTGAAAGAACAGGACAGGCCTCATTAAGGAACGGTAGCAAACAGACCGGTTATTAGAATGGGAACTCAGAATGGAAATTTAATAGAACTTCAGGTCTACAGGGAGGGACAAAGAGAGAAACTGTGGCTTGCAAGGTCCAGAAACATAACTTGGTTATCAGAAATGAGGCCCTATAGGGGGCGTGGGGTAGATCTCAAACCTGGGATTAGAGTAAGATCCAAGTGCTAATCAATCGGTGGATCATCATAGCCCTGCCCAGGGTACAGTGGACAGTTCAGGACCCAGCAGTCCCAGAGTTGAAGGGTGGAGCATTGCTTATTTCATCCACTTCACATGGGTGGAGAGTGGAGTGTAAAAAATGAGAGCTACACGGGGCTGAATCAGTTCATAGAACTTCTATCTGAATCAGGTTTAAATCTGGAACAATGAAGGCAGTGAGACAGGACTGAAGGAGGCTGCAGTGAATTCAGCTTCGGGGAGCAGGTGAGGAGAGGGCAGCCCAACAAGGTAGCAAGGCGAGGCTGAGAGTAAACCCAATGGATGTGGCATTCAAAATGTCAGTAAGCCAAGGCAGCGATCTTCGAGGAATGAAGCTGGTCATTGTTTACAAGAGACAAGTTCTGATCCAGATCTTAAAGGTCCTCACATTCTTGGATGCAGAGAGAGGAGGAAAGATAAATTGTGGAAGAAGAAAGCAGCTAAGACACACAACGGAGAAGCAGAAGGAGGCAAGGCATTGAGGGAATCTGTGAAGTGTGATTTGGGTGTAGTGTGAGGCCATAGTGGAGAGACATTAGATCAAATAAACAAAGGGAATAGGTAATGTCGAGATGTGAACTTTAAAATGTGAATTGAAGGTGAACAAAACAGTAGTATTTTGGGTAAGAAAATAAATGAAAATTCTTTGAAATTGGTAATTTTGTAGCCACTAGTGTCACTAGAAAAAGGAAGATTTTGACTATACTTGAATTAATTCTAGTTGTAACACTGTTATTCATATTGTTGGCTGCCTTGTAAGTTCCCTGCTATGTATTGGGTCTGAAATGG